AACGTTATTAGTTTATTTTCTCTGATGAAGTTCTAATTTTTTTTGTTTGTTGGAAAAAGGGTTACTTTTCTGATGAAGTTGCCGATTTGTTTCCAACCAAACCTCAGCTAATATAGTTAGGGAGACGGATAAGAAATTGCATAAAGGGAGAGGCTTTGTAAACACGCAAGTTTACGTCAACTTGACACATATAAACTCGTATATAGGAATTGTGTAAAATGTTAATCAATATATGTTTATGAATATAGTCCTTTTATTTCCTTAATCTATAGTCATGTTATCATCATATCGGCAAGAAAATTACTATTACAACATATGTTTCCGTGCTTCGATTTGTCGATCAGGTAGGCAACCAAACCGGGCCAGATTAGTCACAAATGAAATTAGGCTCCACTTTGGCAAGTTTTTTCACAATTAAAAATTAGAAAGTCTAACCAAACTAATAGAAACTGAACCAAACAAAAATGTTCACGCAATTACGTAGCACTTCTCTATGAAATACTGTGGATAATTCGATTTGAGCTAATCTATGGTAAGTCGTTTCTCTCAAACTGAATTAAGCTAAACCAAACCGAAAATAAACCGTTGTAGAACACCCATAATAAACATATATATGTTCTCTACTCTTATATGGCTATTTTTCCATTTGCAGATACGTGTGACAACATTCCAAATATAGGCACATGATACAAATTACAAAGCCAGAAATTAAAATTTATAAACTATACATAATAAGGTCAGTAGCCTAATTACATCCATATATTTAGTTGGGCATAATAAGGATAGCCTAATTTTGGTGCATCCCGCCAAAAATTCGGACAAATGGTGAATTTCAAACCATGAATTTCTTTGTTATACATACATTACGTGCACTATTACATCAAAGAAAAATAGTGACGTGCATAAACGTATTTTCTTCACATAATCTATATAAAATATATACAGCCATGTACATTTTTCAACATAGAAAAATCATGTATACAAATACGGTAGGTGCAATACTGATAAACTGCCATTCCCATTGCATTAGACGCTAGTCAATCCAAACCTTATAACATAAAAAGTTATAGTCCATTTCTTTCATATCCAATCGAGTCAAAATAATATTCGAGCAAAAAACAAAAGAAATGGTTATGGAGCAAGCTGGAACGACATCGTATTCGGTCGTGTCAGAGTTTGAAGGAACAATACTGAAGAACGCAGATTCATTCTCTTACTTCATGCTCGTAGCCTTCGAAGCAGCTGGTCTAATTCGTTTCGCTATCTTGTTGTTTCTATGGCCCGTAATCACACTCCTTGACGTTTTCAGCTACAAAAACGCAGCTCTCAAGCTCAAGATTTTTGTAGCCACTGTTGGTCTACGTGAACCGGAGATCGAATCAGTGGCTAGAGCCGTTCTGCCAAAATTCTACATGGACGACGTAAGCATGGACACGTGGAGGGTTTTCAGCTCGTGTAAGAAGAGGGTCGTGGTCACGAGAATGCCTCGAGTTATGGTGGAGAGGTTTGCTAAGGAGCATCTTAGAGCAGATGAGGTCATCGGTACGGAACTGATTGTAAACCGGTTCGGTTTTGTCACCGGTTTGATTCGCGAAACGGATGTTGATCAGTCTGCTTTGAACCGTGTCGCTAATTTGTTTGTTGGTCGGAGGCCTCAACTAGGTCTTGGAAAACCGGCTTTGACCGCCTCTACAAATTTCTTATCGTTATGTGAGGTAAACATTCTAAATTATATACCATTGCATGAAGCGAATACTAAAATATAATTGTTACACTTATGAGAAAGAAAAAATCAACTAGCACAATTTTTTAAATCTAACAAAAATAGGAGCATATAGTAACCAAAATATAGTATATCTATAAATCTAACCAAAATATAACGGATCTTTGTATTTTCAACCAAAATATAGTATTTCTTAATATTTCACTAAATCATAAATATCATTCTGAATTTTTTTTTGTCTTTCTATATAGGAGCATATTCATGCACCAATCCCGGAGAACTACAACCACGGTGACCAACAACTTCAGCTACGTCCACTTCCGGTGATATTTCACGACGGAAGACTAGTGAAGCGGCCAACGCCGGCCACCGCTCTCATCATCCTCCTTTGGATCCCATTTGGAATCATTCTCGCCGTGATCCGGATCTTTCTTGGAGCCGTCCTCCCATTGTGGGCCACACCTTACGTCTCTCAGATATTCGGTGGCCATATCATCGTCAAAGGAAAGCCTCCTCAGCCACCGGCGGCTGGAAAATCCGGCGTGCTCTTTGTGTGTACTCACAGAACCCTAATGGACCCTGTGGTATTATCTTATGTCCTCGGACGTAGCATCCCAGCCGTTACTTACTCAATCTCGCGCTTATCAGAGATCTTATCTCCCATTCCAACCGTCCGATTGACAAGAATCCGAGATGTGGATGCGGCTAAGATCAAACAACAACTGTCAAAAGGAGATCTAGTGGTTTGTCCTGAGGGAACCACTTGTCGTGAACCGTTTTTGTTAAGATTCAGCGCGCTTTTCGCTGAGTTAACGGATAGGATTGTTCCGGTTGCGATGAACTACAGAGTCGGATTCTTCCACGCGACTACAGCGAGAGGCTGGAAGGGTTTGGACCCAATTTTCTTCTTCATGAACCCAAGACCGGTTTACGAGATTACGTTCTTGAACCAGCTTCCTATGGAGGCAACATGTTCGTCCGGGAAGAGCCCGCATGACGTGGCGAACTATGTTCAGAGAATCTTGGCGGCTACGTTAGGGTTTGAGTGCACCAACTTCACAAGAAAAGATAAGTATAGGGTTCTCGCTGGAAACGATGGAACAGTGTCGTACTTGTCGTTGCTAGACCAATTGAAGAAGGTGGTTAGCACTTTCGAGCCTTGTCTCCATTGAAAATACTAGAAGTATAGATCATCCGATGATTTTCTCTCTGTTTTAATATATTAGATCAGTAGTTTCAAATTAAACCTGTTTGCAGTTTCTTTCTTTCGATTTTAGTTTTGTTTGTGATAAAAGTTTGAGATGATTTTTTTATATGGTCAAGTGTTGAATTCTTGTTTAAATGTTATTCTTTTTCAAATATGTATGTAACTCCCCATAACCAATGTTGATGAATAATATATATGAAGGGATAAATATTTTGCTGGTCATTATATTATGAATTGCTGTTAAAAAAATTCCAGCAATTCATTTGCTTCAAAAATATTTTTGTCGATCAAATTATTTATTTTGAATGTCGAAACCATATACTGTACAGTATAATTAACTGTTATCAACGTTGGTTCACTTAAAACGTTCTTTTAATTAGGTTCTTAACTTCTTATTATATTCAAATATCCAACCCACTAATGGCCACATTTTCGTTTACATACATCAAACACCTATAATAAATTAAAAATATAATAATTGCATTGTATTTACATTTTGTAACACGTTGAAACTATTAGAGGAAGGAAAAATAAAGAAATCAAATTCTAACAAAATTTATGAATTTGTTGGATTAGTAGCCAAACATATTCAAATTTGGTGGGCAGATAAGAAATAGACAAACTCGTTGACCAGAAGACTTTCGCTGCCACTGGATCACTTTTCTCGTTCCAGTTGGCCTACCTCGCCAGTTCCACGCCATCTTTCATAAACCTCTTTTTGCTTTCATTATGATGAAATACTTTGGGTTATAAAAATATAGAGTATGTATTTGGGTATTTATATGAATTTATTCCGCATAAGTGTACGAAAATTATACTGTAGATGGCAATTGATAAAGCATCCAATTATATATGTTTGTTATTTCTCCTAAACCTATATATATATCTTTTGTTGTAAGGAGTAAAATTGTATTCTGAAAAATAAAAGTCCCGAGTCCGAGTGTGTTATCCTTCTAATTTCAAAACATTTAGGGTTACGAGTGGTAAATATATCTTTAAGTTCTGACATCAACTAAGCGTATTTATGTAATGGGAATTGATCTTTGATTTCGGTTAACTATTTTAGCGGTTTGCAGGAGTAGGTATTTAAATAACTTTGTTACCAAATGACAAATGTCAGAAATTGATTGCCAAAGAGAAGAGTTCAAATATAAGATAAGGCGAAAATGCTGTGGAGAACATTGGAGACATGATTGGCGTGCTTTTTATATGGGATCCTAGCTAACAGAGCAAAATATATTAAGTTACAGAATACAGAAGCACTAAATGGAAATAAGTGGTAAAAATAGCTTCGAATACATTAGCTCCAACTGTTTCACATGCGGTAAACTGAACCTTATAGTTATAGCTCATTTTGCAGGTTTTAGTGTACAAGATGTTGCAAAGAAAGAAATGTGAGATCCGTGTGATATAAAGAACGGCCACAACCATTATCGACATACCTTACTCGTATGCATTTTCAGTAACAGGCACACAAATGTTCTTCCAAATTAAACAAAATCATAGTTCTGTTAAAGTTTAATATATCAGATTGTCAAACGATTATCTGTAAAATTAAGTTCTTGCAATACCCACTAGTTTTACCATTTGGAGCCTAGTCAGAGATTGGCATTTTGGGAAGATGGAATTATAAACAATAAAATTCAATGTGAAAAATCTGTTGGTAGATCTGAATCAAAATACACAGCAAGAATGCATCACTATAACATATAGTCGTTAAATCTACTCAAACATATATACTGAAGTCATCAGAAAACAAAAATTATGATGAAAGCTGAGAGAAGTAAAAATCTTACAATAATGGATCAGTATGATCTAGAGATACTTACTTATATATGAACCAGAAAAAAATTAGGATCATATGAAAAAACTAGGATTTTTTTTCTGGAAATCTAAGATCATTTGAGAGGTTCAAAACATCTACAAGAATTCAAGATAGAGAAAAAATGAACATACCAAAAAGTTCTCGAGCTATATCCAAGAAATACCTCCGATCTGTGGATTCCTACAAAAAGATTGAACTAGGAAATAATTTCCAATCAACACAAACCTGTTTATATGTGTAAGCCACTGATTGCAGCTGCAGCATCATCAAGATTCTCATACATACATCAAAAATCTAATCATAAATGGGTTTATTTACACGAATACTTGATGATTTGTGAATCTTGATGATGCTCCAACAGCGAACAGTAGCTGGTTGATGATAGGGATGTATGTAGTGATTTGGTTTTGTCTTGGATCTTTTCAAGACTCAAGACGGCACCATTTTGCTGGAAACATGAAACCCTAATTTCAATCCTTAATCTAGAGTCTAGCTAGTGACCTAGAAAGAGATAGATGTAGACTTTTATATATATGAAGCGATAAAGAAGAGCCTATTTGGTGTTTTCTCCAATGATGTGCATAAAATATATATAATTAACAAATTAAAAATACGTTAACTGAGATCTCAGATACTCAGGTCATTAGTACAAAGTACAAACGTCTAATAGAGGCCAATTTTGTCATCCATATTCAATTCAACCATATCATTTGCCATAACCGTACCCATATATAGATATTTGTTAGTCTACAAAAGACTGTATAAATCGTTTTATCTTTTGTTTAAGCCATCAACTATGATATCAAATTACCAGATCACTCATGCTAAAGAATCCATCGAAATGTATTAAGTTTGTCGAAGTTCGTTACTCTATATGGTGGATTTTAAATATTTGATTTGGTTAGATAATTTTTAGTTATACCGTCAAATAAATTTCCAACTATTTAGTCAGCGAATTTAAAGATCAAACACTAATCATCAGTAATGGTTTGCTGAAAATCGTCAGAATTTCTTTTACTAGTGAGCAAGTTTTAAGATGAAATAAAATGTGTGAAACGAAATAGAGAAAAGGTGGAGAGGGAAGAGACAAGCGTGAGACACGGAGAAGTGGAACTGATCTCTTTACGTTCCTCGTACGTTTACCAAGTTACACTGCTTTCCATATTTCTATATTATTATTCCCTCCATCCCTTTCTTCACATACTTTATGTAACTTCTTTTTAAAAACCAATTATTTGTATTCTAATTGATTGAATCAAATAGTTTCTATAAGACTATAAATAAACATAATTCGAATTCAAATTCGGCAGCGTTGAAAGATATATGTTGAACAATACATTACCACACTTATTAGTAGAATATATTTATTTCTAGAGTCTCAAAACATAAGCCAAAAAGCCGAAAGCACCTTTTTATCTTTGTGGGTTTGGTGCAATGGATCATATATATGGTACATTAGCATTTTTATCATCTTTCTCTTTTATCATTTTTCTTGTATTGTCGGGCTTGCGTCAGGCCTGTACTTATCTTCATACAACATTATTTATGTACATAACCAGAATTCAGGCCACAAACAATACGTGAGCTATTCAGGATCACGAGGTCCACGCGCTCGCTCGCTCACCCTCCTCTTCCTTCCAAGGCTTTAGCTAATTGTTAACTAGATGGAAAACAGTGCTATGGTTGAATTTTAACATATTGGTTACTACTATCTCAATAATATTTTGTAATACAAATGTCGGTAGATGAATTGATATACCACCTTCATGGATGATGAAGATCCACTTTTAAAGCCCAATTTTTTGTTTTTCTTCGATGCCGAAATCAATATGGGCACATGTGGGTCCTACTATAGCAGTTCCTCAATTTGAGTTAAAAATCTTTGGGTTTTAGGCTTTTAGCCCAAGGAAAGAAAAAAAAATAAGAACCAATTTTTATTTATTTTTATTTTTTATAATTTAATAAGAACCAAATTATTCATCATTATATACTTCTGACAACAAATATTTACTATGTATATTATATAGTGAAGAAGCTGTGACATGAAACAGATTCAAGCCAATCGTCTGATTAGCTAGAGAATCACTGTCATAATCTATTAGTTGACAAAGAATGAATGACACTAGTACAGTAGTTAATATGAGTGCGGATTCTCGTAATCTCAACGTATCTACGTCAATAAGCTCATTTATACATCATTAAATTAAAGTACAACATTCCAATTTATGTTTGGTGGGTTCCTTTTTATCAAGACGTATACGATTATACCAAACCTTTATCCATAATTATTTTTAAATGATACATTTCGTAAATATTAATATTACGATTATTATTTTTAAACCTAAAATCTTTGAATTTTATAAAATTTTAAAATTGATAAAAAAGATACGGGATTTTTTTTGAGTTAATTGATTTTCTAATAAAGATATTGGATTCTTAGTGTTTTTTTTATTCTATAATTTATTTATAACGCGGAAATAAAAAGCAAAATAATTAATTAAGTGAGGAGAGTTTTAATATTTTGATGTTTATTTCTAAATTCATCTCTTTTTTCCACTTCTGTTCAGCTCTGATGAATCTTCTTCCTCTGTTACTTTGATCTCTTTCTCCATCCTTGTCTCTGTCGATTCTCTGAGATATCTTCTCTCGAGCTTTTTCCCGCGTTATCTCTCTCCCACTCCTGGTAATATTTTCTTCTTCTTCTTCTTCTAGATTGTTCTTCCGTTACTAGCTCTTGAATCCATTTCCACGGATCTCTGATCTTCAATCTCTGTTTTCATTCTCTCTAATCAGTTGTTGAGCTTGATATTTTTAGCTAACGTTTTTCCGATTCAAATTTACGATTTGTGTGTTTTCCGATAACCAAATCGGATATCTTCAGCTCAAACTCGAGCTCCGATTTCGTCTCATGTTGTAGATCTCGACGACTTCGTATTTGTCTATGGTTTGCTGATTGTATTCAGATTGCTAGATACTCAATATAGAGCTTACTTTTACCTCAGCTAGGGTTCGTCTTTGTTGTACCTTTAGTTGCTGCTTTTTGATTCTTGTATATATGGATTTTGATTGTTCAATCGTAATTTCTGGTTCATTGAAAATCGATTTATTAGTATTCGAAATTGGAACTAAGATTTAGAGATTGCGAATTTGATACAGAAGTCATTTCAAAGTATCAGAGCTATAAAATGGTGCTTAGCTAGTTTCTGGTTTCCATTTCTGGATTTTCATTCAAATACGAAATCTATTCGTCAAAATGGTGTCACTAGTGTTCTGTAGAAATTTCATTACAGACTTTTAGTTGTTGCCTAGTATCAACTCATATCTCAGCGGTAGATATGATGAATCTACTAGACATATTTTTCAATTATCGCCTCCTTTTACAAGTTTATCATGTCATTATTTTGTTGATAACTACATGAATGCTGGCTGAAATATTAATTTGTCTCTTTTTCCTCTTAATTGGTTCAGGTTGGAGCTTGATGTCTAAATTGTTATTGAACTGCTGGAGTCTGTCTTGCTTTAAGTAGAAAGAGATGAGTTACACGACGGCGACTGCTGATAGTGATGATGGTATGCACTCCAGCATCCATAATGAATCACCAGCTCCTGATAGTATTAGCAATGGCTGCAGAAGTAGAGGGAAAAGAAGTGTCCTGAAGAAAGGACCATGGACTTCAACTGAAGACGGGATTTTAATTGATTATGTAAAGAAGCACGGCGAGGGTAACTGGAATGCTGTGCAGAAACACACTAGCCTGGCCCGTTGTGGTAAAAGCTGTCGTCTGAGATGGGCTAATCATCTGAGGCCAAACTTGAAGAAAGGAGCATTTAGCCAAGAAGAAGAACAGCTCATTGTTGAAATGCACGCCAAGATGGGAAATAAATGGGCACAGATGGCTGAACATGTAAGTAGTTTTGTAACTGCGGAAGCTACCTGATCATGGTCCATTTTCATATTTTGATATTCTTTGTGAGCCTAAAGACTAATTAATCTCTGGTATGATGTTTTCTTCTTGTTTACCAGTTACCTGGTCGAACAGATAATGAGATAAAGAATTATTGGAACACTCGTATCAAGAGGAGACAACGAGCAGGCTTACCACTTTACCCTCCTGAAATCTATGTTGATGACCTTCATTGGAGCGAAGAGTATACAAAGAGTAATATCATAAGAGTAGATAGAAGAAGAAGACATCAAGATTTCTTGCAGTTGGGGAATTCTAAAGATAATGTCTTATTTGACGATCTAAATTTTGCTGCTAGCTTGTTACCTGCCGCTTCTGACCTATCAGATTTGGTTGCATGCAACATGCTAGGAACTGGCGCAAGTTCTTCCCGGTATGAGAGCTACATGCCACCAATATTGCCTTCCCCAAAGCAAATCTGGGAATCTGGATCTCGGTTTCCCATGTGCAGCAGTAACATAAAGCATGAATTCCAATCGCCGGAACACTTTCAGAATACGGCTGTACAGAAGAATCCCAGATCTTGCAGTATCTCGCCTTGTGATGTTGATCATCATCCTTATGAAAACCAACATTCGTCTCATATGATGATGGTTCCTGATAGCCATACAGTTACGTATGGCATGCATCCTACTTCTAAGCCCTTGTTTGGGGCAGTGAAGCTGGAGCTCCCTTCATTCCAATATTCAGAAACTAGTGCATTTGATCAGTGGAAGACGACTCCGTCACCTCCACACTCAGATCTCCTTGACTCTGTTGATGCCTATATTCAATCTCCACCACCATCGCAGGTAGAGGAGTCAGATTGTTTCTCTTCATGCGACACCGGCCTACTAGATATGTTACTTCATGAGGCCAAGATCAAAACTAGTGCGAAGCACAGTTTGTTGATGTCATCACCCCAGAAGAGTTTCAGTTCAACTACTTGCACGACCAATGTTACTCAGAATGTACCACGTGGCAGCGAAAACCTGATCAAATCAGGAGAATATGAAGATTCCCAAAAGTATTTGGGTCGCTCCGAGATTACAAGTCCCTCGCAACTTAGTGCAGGTGGTTTTTCATCAGGTGAGTTGATCAAAGTTACTTGTTGATTGGTATCTTATCTACTCTTGTTCCATATTGATTCTTATGCAGCTGTGTTGGTTTTCGTATATGAAGCTTTTGCAGGGAATGTTGTAAAGACAGAAGAGTTGGATCAGGTTTGGGAACCAAAGAGAGTTGATATAACACGGCCTGATGTTTTACTTGCGTCGAGCTGGCTTGACCAAGGCTGTTATGGCATTGTTAGTGACACAAGCAGCATGAGTGATGCGCTTGCACTTCTTGGTGGTGACGACATTGGGAACAGTTACGTGACTGTTGGGTCATCATCAGGTCAAGCACCACGAGGCGTCGGGTCT